TAGTTTTCAAATTTAAAAATCAATATTTAAATAAAATAAATTTTAAATATATAAATAGTTTTCAAATTTAAAAATCAATATTTAAATAAAATAAAATTTTTAATTTTAAATTAAATTTTAATTAAATAAAACAATATTATTTAAAATTAAAACTCTAATTTTTTGAAAATCCAATCTGACATGCACTTTTCTCCTTTTCCTTAAAATTTGTTTATAAACTAATATTTTTAAATATCATACTACCCATTTAAAAAAAAAAAAAAGGAGAGAGTGAAAATTAGGACATTCTAACATTTAAAATATATTGACTCCTTATGAAATTATTTAAATATTTTTAATGAATCTTTCTTTTATATTGATGGAAAAAGAGAAAATCAAGATGTCTTAACATTTTTAATGTTAAGATGTTTAATAATAATCACACAATGGATTTCATAAAATTAAGGTATATAACTATATAATATACTCTACACATTTACCAACTACCTTAAATAACTCAGTAGATATCTTTTTCCGTTGAAAGTAAGAGGTTTTGAGTTCGAGTTATATAACATATGGGTGAGATGAGATAAGAAATGAAAAATGGTTGTCTCCCATTGTGCAACCAAAATAAAAAATATATATATACTCTATACATTTAATAGTTATGATTGAACGTCTTAATTTTCTATTTTTTTGTAATTGATTAAGAATATTTAAATAATTTTATAAAAAATTTAATATTTTAATGATCAAGATATTTTAATTTTTCACAATCTCTGAAAAATATTATAAACTAATAAAATATTAATTAAATTAAATAACATCTATGTAACTTTAACGAAATAATATCTCTATTACTACCTAATATGTTTTTCCCTTTTTTTTATAAAAAAAAAAAATGGTAATGCCTAATATGTTTTTCCTGTTCTCACACGCCGCTCTTCGTATTCAATATTTTGCTGGTTAAACTATACTGCCGTAATATGATGTTGGAGGGGAGGTCCAACAGAAAAACACTTCGATCCAAGATGATGAAAAAGGTGGAAACTTATCATTCTCATTCCTTTTCTAATATAAAAAACAAAATGTACCAAAAAATATATATGAAAAACAAAAAGCAAATGCCATCTTATTCAAAACCCTAGTTGTGAAATCTTCTCTCTTCACACAAATAGGAAGGCACCGTTCTTATTTGGCAGAACCCTCAAATCACCCCTTGACAAATATGGGTAGGACAGATCTACCCTTCAAAAAAAAGTAGGGACAAATGACACCCCAAAAGTATCGATTTATCCAAATCGATCATTATCTAACAGATGATGTCATCATCGTCATGATCTCCGTTTAGCCCATGCCAGCACGTCCTTTTTTTATACGCTGGATGCTTATGTGTACCATTCCCGCTCTTTTCATACACCTAAACCCTCCCAAATTCTTCCTCTCATACCTAGTCTCCGAATCAGACCAAAACCCTCCCAAATTCTTCCTCTTATACCTAGTCTCCGAACCAGGATCAATCCAACTAGGATTATCTGACTCAACAGACCCCTCTTCACTCACATCACCCTCCACAGCAACTGTCTTAGCATACCTACTCTGATTATCAAGAGAGAAGTAATCAGACCTTATCATACCTTTCGTATCCCCTTCAATCCCCTCCAAATTCCTCTCCGGACTCACCCGGTCCAAGTCAGAATCCGAACTCTACAGCAATTCCCAGTCCTGAAGCTCCAAATCCATGACCGCCTCGAAATCGTCACCGAATCAAAGAATCGAACTTTTCTCTCTCCTAGAGTGATAACTGTCTAAGAGAGAGAAAACAGTTACTGTCGTCCATGGCGCATTCTCGTCGGAATTCGCCCAGGA